AGACATGGAATGTCTTTTTGTAGCTGTATAAGATGTTAGTGAGGCCACATTTGGAATACTGGGTGTAGTTCTTTTCGCCCTACTATAGGAAGAATATTTTAAAACTATAAAAAGAGTGCAGAAAAGATTTAGTCAGATGCTACTGGGACTGGAAGGTTTGTGTTATAAAGGAAAGGTTGGATAGGCTGGGACTGTTTTTCCTGGAGTGTAGGAGACGGAAGGGTGACCTTACAGAGGTTTATAAAAGCATGAGAGGCATAGATAAAGTAGATAGTGGACAGCTTTTCCCTGTGGTAGGGGAGTCTAAACATGGAGGACATAGATTTAAGGGGTCCAGAGGGGCAATTGCTTCACACAGAGGGTGATGAATATCTGGAATGGGCTGACAGAGGTAATGGTGGAAACAAGTACAATTTTGTCATTTAAAAAACATTTAGACAGGTACATGGATGGGATAGGTATGGAGGGATATGGACTAAACAGAGGCAAATGGGACAAGTTTAAATTGTGAAAACTTGGTGGTATGGACAAGTTGGGCTGAAGGGCTTGTTTTCAAACTGTAGATGTCTATGACTCTAGACAGGATTTTAGGTTTCATTAACAGAGGCATAGAGTACAGGGGCAGGGAGGTTATAATGAACTTATACAGACACAGCTTAAACCTCAGTTGGAGAATTGTGGACTGGGTACCGTGCTATAGGAATGATATGAATACATTGGACAGAGTGCAAAAGAGATTTATGAAAATGGTACCAGGGATGAGAAACCTTAGTTATGAGGATAGATTGGAGAAGTTGGGACTTTTTTTTTTGGAGAGAAGACTAAGATGAGATTTGTTACAAGTTTTCAAATTTGTAAACGGATCACGGATGAGAAAGGACAGATCTGAAGTGATTTACAAAACATACAAACATGAGGTGAAATTTTCTTTTAGGATACAGGTAGTTAGGCTATGGAATGCACTGCCTGGAAGTGTGGTGGAGTCAATTTCAATTGAGATGATCAAGAGGGCATTAGCTGATTGTTTAAATAGAAATAATGTGCAGAGTTATGGGGAAAAGGCAGGAAATTGGCATGAAATCAAAATGCCAAGAGAGCTGGAGTCGATACGATGGGGGTGAATGGCCCCACTGTCACAATTCCATGATTCTATCCCTGTGACCCTCACCAGCCCTACAATAACCAGAGACATATTTGCTCAGCTAATTCTAGCATCTTGCACATTCATGAATTTTTGCAAATCTTTTTGACCAAAATTTTGGTCATCAATCCACATGTTGATTTTAGGGTCTAGTTTTGTCTGGTCACACCACTGTAAAGTCCGTCGTGCTGTTTTACTGCATTAAAGGTGCGATATAAATGCAAAACTTCATTGTTGGGTCCTGCTTTTTACTTAAATTACAACCAACATCTCTGAAAGAGGATCTGGTCATTATCTTACAATTGACTTGTGGAACCTTTCTGTGCTCTAATTCGCTACTGCATTTCCTGTATAAAGGAAAATGAGAGCAGAGATTGGGATACACACAATACAATAAAGCATAACAGCAAGAGAATAAATTGATTTGATTTAGTTTTATTTATTGTAGTCACGTGTACCCAAGTACAATGAAAAGCTTTGTTTGCCATCAGTATAGGCATCTTACTGGGTGCTTAGACAGAGTGAGGCATACAGGTTACACTGCACAGGTGTGTGAAGCAAGAGCAACATTAACAACATCAACATTATTTGAAGTTAGAGAGTCCATTCATCAGTCTAATAACGGCAGGGAAGACCATATTCTTGAACCTGTTAATATGTGCGTTCAAGCTTTTTGTATCTTCTGCCTGACAGAAGACGTTGTAGGAAAGGGGTGGAAGGGGTCTTTGATGATGTCGGCCGCCTTTCCGTGGCAACAAGAAGTGTAAATGGAGTCCATGGATGGAAGCTTGGTTTCCGTGATGGTCTGGGCTGCGCACACAACCTTCTTATGTTCCCGAGTAGAGCAGTTGCCATGCCAGGCTGTTATGCACCCAGATGGTACGCTTTCTATGGTGCATCTGTAAAAGTTGGTGAGAATGGACATACCAAATTTCCTGAGGAAGAAGAGGCATTGTTGTGCCTTCTTGACCGTCGCATCTACGTGGGAAATCCAGGACAGACTGTCAGTTATCGTCATTCCGAGGAACTTGTCGCTCTCAGCCCTTTCAACCCCAGTTCCGTTGGTGTAGATGGGGTCCTTGTCCTTTCTTTCTGAAGTCAATGATCAGTTCTTCTGTTTTGCCAACATTGAGAAGTTGTTATCAGTCCACCACGACACCGAGCCCTGTATCGTCTTTCTGTATTTTGACTCATTGTTATTTGATATCTGTCCTACGGTGATGTTGTCAGCAAACTTGTAGATGGCATTCATTCAGAATTTGGCTACACAGTCGTGGGTGTAAGGGAGTACAGTGCAGGAAGTCAAGCAAACAAGTGAAGTTGCCATCAAGAAGGAAACAGGACAAAAGCCTGTCAGCTTAACTGCAGAACTAAGAACCTTGAAATTAATGCTTTACCATCAACGTCAGTGCGACTGGTATCATTAGGAAAATGAAGAGTAGACTGGATTTCAACCAGTTGAGGCTAAAAAGTTTTCTGTTGGTCCTGTAGGCAATGTCCACACTACTGGGGAAGCTTGTTCTTGACAAGCTGAAGAATGGTAGTGATGGAGATGGGGAAAAGGGTGGGCGAAATGACATCCCTGAGTGACCAGTTTTCACCTCAAAGCATTCTATCATATTACCATCAGTGAAGACCGTTGCTGACATCTTGTTGTGGAGGAGACAGAAGATGTTGATGAATTTCACTGGATAGCCAGCTTTAACAGGATCTTTCATAGCACTTACCGACTGGCTAAGTCAAAAGCCTGAAGAAGGGTCACTGGTTCACTTGTACCTGCTATATGCATTTGCACTTCTTCACTGCATTATCTGGACAAAACAGCAGGTTGGCAAACCAATTTCAAGCTTCTATTAACTTTGGCTCTGTAATCATTTGGAGCCTTTATTTTTCTTTTGCCCTCTTTTTCTTTCCATTGCTGTTATTTCAGCACCTTGACTTGATATTGTAGCTTATTTCAGGAATGTGTGACGTGCAGAACCCTAGGAGCAGACTGATATCTTATCATTTACTGACTATACTTTAAAGAAGTACTTCATTGGCTGCAAAATGTTTGATACATCCATTGATGAGGGCAGAGCGGTAGATGTTGTCTACATGGACTTTAGTAAAACCTTTGACAAGGTTCTGCATGATTAGTAAAGTTATATCACATGGGATTCAGGGAGAGCTTGCCAATTGGATACAAAATTGGCTTGACGATAGTAGGCAGAGGGCCATTTTTCAGACTGTAGGCCTGTGACCTGTGGTGTTCCGCAGGGATCGGTGCTGGGTCCACTATTGTTTGTCATTTATATAAACAATTTAGATGAGAATTTAGGAGGCATGGTTAGTAAGTTTGTGGATGACACCAAAATTAGCGGCATACTTGACAGTGAATAAGGTTATCTAAAATTACAAAGAGATCTTGATCAATTGGACCAATGGACTGAGAAGTGGCAGATGGAGTTTTATTTGGATAAATGCGAGGTTTTCGTTTTGGTAAAACAAATAAGGCACAGGACTTGGACATAGCAAGAACTACAGATGCCGGAATCAGAGACGACACAGTGTGGAGCTGGAAAAACACAGCAGGTCAGGCAGCATCAAAGGAGTAGGAAAGTTGACGTTTAGGGTTGGGACCCTTCTTCAAAACTTATAGAGTTAATGGTAGGGCCATGGATAGCACTATCGAACAGAGAGACCTTTGCTTAGATCATGGAGTTTAGGAGTTGGTATGTCACGTTGAGGTTGTACAGGATGTTGGTGAGGCCACTTTTGGACTACTGTGTAGAGTTCTGATTGGCCTGCTATGGGAAGGATATTATTACATTGGAAAGGGTTTAGAAAAGATTTACCAGCATGTTGCTGGGACTGGAGGGTTTGAGTTATTAGAAGAAGCTGGATAGATTGGGACTGTTTTTACTGGAGCATAGGCAGTTGAGGGGTGACCCTATAGAAGTTTATAAAATCATGAGGGGCATAGATAAAGTGAATAGCAAGTCTTTACCCTAGGGTGGGTGACTTCAAAACTAGGGAACATATTTTTAAGGTAAGAGGAGAAGGATTTAAAAGGGACCTGAAGGGCCTTTTTCACACAGAGTGGTTCATGTGTGGAATGAATTGCCAAAGGAAGTGGTAGATGCAGTTACAATTACAACATTTAAAAGACATTTCGATAGGTATATGAATAGGAAAGGTTTACAGGGTATGGGCCAAATGCAGGCAAGTGGAACCAGTTTAGTTTGGGAAGCTTGGTTGGCAATGGATGAGGTGTACTGTTTCCGTGCTGCATGACTCTGACCTGGAACAATAACGGTCCTTTCTCTCCAAAGATGGTGCCAGGCCTGTTCAGTTTCTTCAGCAATTTATTTCTCTATTGAAGAAAAAATTGACAGCACTGGTCAGGCATAAATTCCCAGTGGTCAGTCGGTTGCGGAATAGTAGAACTCGAGGATAAATTGGAGAAGAGTTCAAAAACAGTGCTAAATTTAAAAAGGTGCAGTTACTGATTTAAGGAGTGACCAGACCTGTGCTCCCTTTACCCTAATAGAGCAGAATGACACATCAGCACCACTGTTTCTCTCTCACTTGCACATCTTTCAGCTGGAGGTTTAGCACCTATCCAGCACTGGCAAAGTCCTGGTTCACCTCCTGGAATGTTGTCTCTGCTGGTTTCCTGGAATTCGTAATAATGAAGCATTTTGCTCACACACTATAATAGAAAAGTAAATGCTCACAGTGGTTGAAAGTTTTCTGGATGGACTGTATGAACAGCTTTCAACAGAATGCTCCAATTAAAACTTCCTGACAGAAAACTACTGAGTATGAGACCAGGTCCATCAGATGAACTCTGAATCAAAATATATCAGTATTACAGTTTGAAGTTTAAAAAATAAATTTATTCAAAAAAGATACAAAATATCATATTGATGTAGGAGACCATTCAACCCGTTGTATTCTACCTATTCAGAGAAAATATACCTCCACTTATGACACACTCAATTGTTCCTTAAAACATCCAAGGTCTTTGCATCCACTATCCGGTCTGGAAATTCACTTCAGGTGTTCATTATCTTTGTCTGAAACATTTTCCTATGAGTCCAAGTTTTGTCTTTACTTGTTTAGATCTTCTGCCTGTATTTTATCTTGAAGCAAAATTCCTGCATTTGGCTTTTTCTGTGCTGTGTGCTGTCTTACGTGCTTGGCATCAGACACCTATTTCAGGGCTGAGAATTCCCACTTTTTCTGGCCTTGCTGTTCAATGTACAGCCTCCCAATGCTAGGGATCCACATCTACCACTCACGTGACACCACCACAACAGATTAACACTCCCTACCTACACTCACCTTTACTGGCTTCATTCCCACCTCCTTGACCTGTCCGTCTTCTCTCCACCTATCTGCTCCACTATGCACCTTCTATCATCGCCTCCCCCTCTCTCTACTTATTTAAGCCCCCTTCCCCTCCCCCATTTCTGAAGGGTCCAGACCCGAAACGTCAGCTTTCCTGCTCCTCTGATGCTGCCTGGCCTGCTGTGTTCATCCAGCTCCTCACCTTGTTATCTCAGACTCCAGCATTGGCAGTTCCTACTATCTCAGATTAACACCTGTGTTGCAGCTTTTTCTGGGGCCTTTGGGGAATGTTGCATTGCCACAAAGCCAACTTCTCGATGAACTGTGTTCCCATTTGCCAGTTCAGGGGAAGAAGAGCAATTGAGTTCTCCTCAATAACATTCACCACTCAAAAAATGCAACTGAAACAGATTAACATCACTGAATTTGGAATCTTGCTTTGTCCAAATCGGCTGCTGCTTTTCCTACACTGCATCAGCGGCTTTTAAAAAAGCACCATACAAATCCTACCTTTTCTTCTTGTAGCTCCTGACAGAAGTACCCAGAGCAAACACACAAGTGCTCATGTTTAGAACATGTCCTACCAGTGAGGACCTTACTTATCAGCTACACACATCATGGAGTCATGGGCTACCCACTTGCCATTCATGCCGATGTTCAGCCAACATGTGGTGGCACCCAGCCAGTGTTTTTAAAGGTACCTACGTCACAACATCAGATCAAAATCCATGTCTTCAGTGTAGATCATCTCAGGATCCTGAAACTCATCACCCAGCTTCTTCCACCAGGGCCCCCGTGTGTACTGTAGCATGGTGTTGTGGGACTGCCTTGCCCTGGCTGCAATAGGTCCAGACCTGCTGCTGAACACCTCCACATCCTTCTCTGTGGCCTCCTTCAAACCTGGAGCGTCTAGATACAAAATGACAGAAAAAAGAAGCCAGTAATAAAAAATAAAAAAACAAGAATAGCCGGTGACTCCATAAGGTATACTTGAATTGGTAATATATGAGAATATTAGGAGAACATCAGAACAGAAGATGCCGTCTGTACACTGCAGACACATCAATGCCAGACCAAGAAAAGGCCTTAGATTTTGGTTGAACGTTGTCTCAGTCAAATACAGGAAATCCCTTAAATATTATCTTTGATATTAACGTAATCTGATGGTTGGCTTATGCGCTTTAAATAAAAAGCTTCAACTATAGGGAGCTCTGGATAGTAGGATGTTTGAGCCCCAGTCACAGGGCTGGAGGCTCAAAACTTTGGACTTCACTGTCATTCAAGCTTACTCACCTGGATGTGTGCCTTTTGACAGGTCTCCTCCAGCTAGATAAAGACCTATTCATTGAATCATACAGTGTTTGCATGTTAAGCTCATTGAGTCATTCAAACAACTAGCACTGCAAATACATTTTCCTCTTCCACATGTTCTTTTGTTTTCTGATTTGAGAGGACTCTAAGGGGAACTGACCTGTAATCTCTTGAAAGTCCATCTATCGATCAGATAGCAGAGGCACGGAGTTAATGTCACTGGACTACTAATCCAGAACACCGGGCTAATGTTCTAGAGACATGGGTTTGAATTCCACCATGGCAAATGGTGAAATTTGAATTCAATACAAATCTTGAAGAAAAAGCTAGCCTTATCAACCGCTATCGATTGTTGTAAAAACCATTCTGGTTCACTAATGTCCATTTCTTTCATTCATTCATTAATGGGATGTTTGCATTGCTGGCTAGGCCAGCATTTTTTTTTTGTTGCCCATCCCCAATTACCCACAGGGCAGTCAAAAGACAACCACATTGCTGTGGGTCTGGAGTCACCTGCAGGCCAGATCAGGTAAGGGTGGCAGATTTCCTTCCCTAAAGGACATTAAGGATCCAAATGCATTTTTCCAACAATCGGTAATGGTTTCATGGTCATCATTAGACCCCTAATTCCAGATTTTTAAAATTTGATTCAGATTCCGTCATCTGCCTGACCAGAACATAACTTCAGTCCCTGGATTAATATCAATGATAATACCACTAAGCTACTACCATTTTAATACTACAACCACTTTCCCCTTTAGGGAAGGAAATCTGCTGTCCTTACCTCATCTGACCTACATGTGATTCCATTCCACAGCAATGTGGCGATGCTAAACTGCCCTCTGGACAATTAGGATCGGGTAATCACTGCTAGTCAGACAGTGATGCCCACATCTCATGAATAAATTGTTAAAAAAGGATGTTCCACGTCTCACTGAGGTAACATGCAGGAAGTCAAGCTCCACTATTCCTAAAGTCATCACAAAAGTTAAGCTTTTAAAAGAAATATGCAAAATCCCAAAGCGCCTGATTTTCAGACCCAGATTGACAGAAAGTATGGACCAGGTATTTGTAGAAACATAGAATGTAGGAGCAGCAATAGGTCATTCAGCCCTTTGAGCCTGCTCCACAATACAATATGATCATGGCTGATCATCCAACTCAGTACTCTGTTCCCACTTTCTCCCTGGATCCTTTGATCCCTTTCGTCCTAAGAAGTATATCTACACCTTTCTTGAAAGTCTTCAATGTTTTGGCCTCAACAGTTTTCTGTTGTGGAGAATTCCACAGGCTCACCACTCTCTGGGTGAAGAAATTTCTCATCTCTTGTCCTAAAAGGCCTACCCTTCATTCTCAATCTGTAACCCCTGGTTCTGGACTGCCTGGCCATCGAGAACACCCTTCTAGCATCTATCCTTGTTTAGTACTGTTAGAATGTATTTCACAATAAATCACTGTTTATTACAGGTCATCAGAATCTAGGTCCAGGTAAACAATTAAAGTAAATTAAATAAAGTCTAAACCCTTTGAAAATTCTCCTTACACACAGACAGGCATAAACAGGAGAAAACACCACACTGGTGTTAGGAGTTCCGAGAAAACAGTTCTGTGGATATTTTTCATTAGATCTGTTGGGATGGTTCACCCAAAAGTTTCTCCTCTGTATTCCTATTTTTGAATGCAAGAGGCACAGGGTGGCTGTTTCACTTATGAAAAGTCTCTGACTTATCCAATTCAAAATTGCAACGGGAAGCATCGGTTAAAGAAGGTCAGCTGGTTTTCTCAGGTTTAAAGGGTATTACTGCAGAGAACTGAGAAAGTGAGAGGGAGCGAGCGCGAGAGGGAGAGGGAGCGAGCGCGAGAGGGAGAGGGAGCGAGCGCGAGAGGGAACGTATTTCGGCTCCTGCAGATCTGCCAGTTTCCCTTCTGCCCCGAGTAGTTTCCCCTGTGTCTTGCTCACAGCCCAATCTGTTCAGCTAACTGACAACCAATGACCTTGTAGAGGACCACTGTCATTGATAATTGGTACCCAGTCCACAATCCAATCAGCTTCACTTGTGAACAAACCAGATTCCCATGACCTTCTGGAACCTTCTTCCATCCATCCGTCCCTTTGACTCCATCCCGTCTCCTAATCACACCTCTTGTTGGGTATATACCATACCTTCTGACCTTCTGTTCTCTGAAGCTAAACAATCTGTACTCAGCAAAGGAATTAGTTTTATCCTTTATGCTCCCACCTCAATAAATTTCCAGCACGACATGACTTTGAATTTTTCTTCTTTCACCGTCACCTCCGAGTCCATTTCTTTGGATAGGAATCTCTCCCCATCCTACAGACCCCTTCAACTGCCTCCAACACTCTCCCTCCACCTGGGACCCCTCCCTCCGGTCTCTCACCTGCACTCGACCTGTCCACTCATAACAAGACATCAGTTGCCTTAATTTCTTTTCTCCCCTCACCCATTCTAATCTATTACCCTTTGAAATGACTGCATTCTGTGCTCTCAGATCCAACCCTGACTTTGTAATCAAACCTGCTGACAAGGATGGTGCTGCTATTGCCTGGCACACTGACCTCTACATTGTGAAGGCTGAGCTCCAGCACTCAGGCATCTTCTCCTTTCTCCCATTGGACACTGAACATCAGGTTGTTGTTTTCACAACTGGCAATCTCTTCCCCACAACATCTCACCTCATCGTCTCCAACCTGGTACATCCTGTTTCTCCCTGCTTCACAAAATCCACAAACAGGACTGCCTGGGCAAATCTGTTGTTTCAGCCTTTTCCTGCCTTTATGGAGCTTATTTTGTCCTACCTTGACTCAATATTTTTCCTTTCCTTGTCCAGTCCATTCCCACTTACATCCACAGTCCTTTTGATGCTTTACATTGCTTTCAAATTTTCCAGTTTGCAGGCACCAACCACCTCCTCTTCATTGTGACATTCAATCCCTCCACACATCAGGATGGTCTGAGGCCTCTCCACTTCTTCCTTGGAAGAAGATCTGAATCACATCCACCAATAGCCTCCTCTGCCTTGCTTTGAACAACTTCTCTTTTAACTTCTCTCACTTTCTTCAGGTCAAAGTTCTGGCTATACATACCTGCAGGGGACCCCAGTTATGGCTGTCTCTTTGTGGGACATGTGGAACACTCCTTGTTCCAGTTCTACTCTAGTCCCTCCCACAACTCTTTCTCATGTATATTGATGCAATCATTGGTGCTGCTTCCCTCTCTTATCTGGACTGGGAAAAAATCTTCTGTCACTTCATCTGGTCCATCTTGGACTCCTTCTTTCCCTTCCTTGACATTTCTGTTTTCATTTCTGGGGATAGGTTAGCCACCAGTATCCATTACAAATCCAATGACTCCCACATTTACCTTGACTATACATCCTCACACCCTGCTTCCTCTAAAGACTCTATTCTATTCTCCCAATTTCTCTGTCTCTGTCGTATCTCTTCTAACAATACCACCTTTCATGGGAGGGGGGGGACGGGGTGACCTCAGACATATTTGCATTTTTCCTCAACCCCATTACCATGGTTGACAGGGCTCTTCGTGATTTCCCACCCATTTCCCATACTTCTGCCCTCAACCCCTTCCTTCGAACAAACCAATGATTGGGCTCCCATTGCTCTAACTTTCCACCCCACCAGTCTCCATATTCAAAGGATCATAGGTGCCATTTCTGCCACCTCAAACAGGATGCCAGCACCAGGCACAAATGCCCCTCCCCTCCCTGGTCAGCATTTCACAGGGACTGTTCCCTCCTGGACATCCTGGACCACTTCTCTTCCACTTCTGATACCTCCTCACACTCCAATGGTACTTTCCCATGAATATTGTTGAAGGTGTAACACTTGCCCATTTACTTACTCCCTCCTCACTACCCAAGGCCCCTAACACACCTCCCAGGTGGAGCAACGATTTACCTGCACTTCATTCAATCTCGTACTCCAAATGTGATTGCCCAATACTGAGAAGAAAAGCAGACTGGGTGACCACTTTGTTCTGTCGTAAAAATGATTCCAAGCTTCCAATTACCTGCCACTTCAATACACCATCATGTTTCCTGGCCAACATTTCTGTCTCAAGCCTGCTCCAGTGAAGATCAACACAAGCTGGATGAACAACAGCTCACATTCCGGTGAGGTACTTTACAGACCTCAGGATTCAACATTGAGTTTAATAATTTAAGCACATGAACACTGCTCCATATTTGTTACCCACACCTGCACACACAGGTCCTGTTCTGTATGGGTTTTCCATTTCCAATTATTCACATTTCCCAGTTGTACCTATTCAGCCAAAAGAACTGCGGATGCTGTAAATCAAAAACAAAAACAGAAACGGCTGGGAAGCGCAGCATCTGTGGGGAGGAATCAGAGTTAATAATGGGTCATGTGACCCTTCCTCAGAACCCATTCAGCATTTGTCTCTCCCCGGCTTGTCATCAGCAATCCTTTTGTTTGCTTCTCCTCTCTCTTGAGTCTCCACCTTTTTGATTCACTCCTTTCCTCCATCTGCCCTCTTTATCAGCATAAATACCACCATTTCCTAGCTGCTTTCAATTCTCGTGGAGGGCCACTGGACTCAAAATGATAACTCTGTTCTTTTCTCCACAGATACTGGCATACCTGCTGAGTTTCTCCAGCCTTTTTTTGTTTCAAACCCCCAACTCTAGTTTGCCTACACATTGCTGAAACCTACAGCTATAGAAACAGGATTCACACTAGGTATCAAATTTCTTTCTTTCAAAACATGCAGCATCTTTGTAAATGCCAGGGTTTCAAAATTGTTGTTTCTTGTTTGATTACACACTTAAAATACATAAAAATAAGGAGACACAGTCTTTATAGTGTACAATGCATGCATTGTGAAAGGACAGCAATGACATCCTTAGCTTCTATGACTTCCTGCTTAAAGGTTTAATAAGCAGTCAATAGGTTGACTTACTCATCAGTAGCTCAATGTCCGTGTTGATTTGGGCAAGCAGTGCCTCCTGCCGCTGCTCCGACTTCCGCTCCAAGTTTCTTTTCATGAGGTACTGACCCAACATCTCCTGAGCCTGGGAATGTCGCTCTTTCGTTCTCTCCTCGGACACTTGAGGAACCTGAGGGGAATAATGGGTTAAAATGCTGATCCATTACTGGCTGCCATATCTTAGAGTCGAGTATGCATAGTGGAGGGTGCTTTTGTTATGATCTTTGGATCACATTAACTTGGGGATGGGACAGTGATGGGGCTTCCAGATTTTAGAGGATCTGGGATGCAATGACAGCAGCAAACAATGATGTTGAACCACACAGAATACATATGAATCCAATTATTAGTCAACACAAAGCTGTACTTAAAGGTACACAACTCACAAAGGGATGGTTTCATTACAGATAGGTTGGAAATGTAATTATTACACATTACAATAAAAATTTATAAGAAAATGAATGGATCATTTACAAATAAACACCTGGTACTGTACTACAATCCACACTGACAAGCATGAAGCTTTCTATGAACCTGAACTTTTCATTTCCAATACAGATATAAGATCTCAGTCACCAAAATTAAGCTGGCTTTGAAATCATCTAAACTCAGGCCATTTGGGATTAACTAATTTGAAACTGAGTACCTGCACCTTCAGTAAGTTTCCAAGGCTTTTGCATACCACTTTTTTTTCAAACACATCACAAAGTCTGATATTTGTAGCTTTACAAAGACACTGGCAGCCTGCACTGTGTGTCAGTTATTCAATTACTTCAACTTCTCACAAGGCTATCTCCACTGTAGAATTTTAGTGCTCCATGAAGAGCACTTATGTGGTTACTAATCTAATTAGACGCACTGGATTTTGGGCACGTGCAGCAAAGCAAACAAATACAGAGAGCACGAAGTGGTCTTCAGATAAGCAATAGATAAGGTTGGAAATCTGTCCAAAATCAGAAAAGCCTCATCTCTGTATTTAGACATTTCCATGACTTTGGGGTTTGGTTTTGGATGTTCCATGATCTTTCCAGGACCATAGAATTCATTTATAAATTTCATAACTTTTTCTGGTTTACCATGACCGGTGGGAAGATATCGAAGTATGAATATGCACTGCTTATTTATTCAGTGTATTGTTTCTGCACCGGCTCTCCAAATGAGCATCATGACTTAGTGCCATTCCCTAAATGCCTGAATGTTATTTTTGTTTAAATAATCATCTAATACCCTCTTGAATGCCTGAATTGAATCTCTCTCCACACTTCCAGGCAGTTCATTCCACACCTAAATCACTGATTGTATGAAGAAGCGCTTTCTCACATCACATTTGTTTCTCATGCAAATCACTTTACATCATTGCCCTGTCACTCTTGATCCTTTTATGACAGGCAACAGTTCTTACTATCTATCCTATCTGGTTCCCTTAAAGTATTTTGAAAACTTTTATTAAATCACCTTTCAGCTTTCCACTCTCCAAGGAGGGCAGTCTTAACTGCTGCAATTTATCCTCATAACTGAAGTTTATCATTCCTGGATAACTCTTGTAAATCTCTCCTGCACTCTCTTCAATGATTTACTTCTCTCTGACAGCGTGGCATCCTGAACTGCACACAATACTCCAACTGAACACGAGAGAGTATCTTGTTCAAATGCAGCAACACCTCCTTGTTGCTTCTTCTTTGGCAGTCCCTCAGGAACAAATGGGGCATTGTATAAGGTAGGTGGGTGACAATGAAGGAACGGCAATATATTTCTAAGTCTGGATGGTGAGTGGCTTGGAGGGGAACTTGTCGGTGGTTTTGTTCCCATGTATCTGCTGCCCTCGTCCTTTTGGTGGAAGTGGTCATGGGTTTGGAAGGTGCTGTCAGTGGATCTTGGGTGAATTTCAGCAGTGCATCTTGTAGATAGTACACACTACTGGTACTGAGCATCAGTGGTGGAGAGACTGGATATTTATGGATGTGTTGCCAATCAAGGCTGCTTTTTTCTGGATAGTGTCAAACTTCTTGAGTGTTGTTGGAGCTGCACCCATCCAGGTAAGTGGGGAGTATTCCATCAAACTCCTGACCTGTGCCTTGTAGACGATGGACAGACTTTGGGGAGTTGGACGGTGAATCACTTGCTTCTGACCTGGTCTTGTAGCTACTGTGTTTATGTGGCAAGTCTAGTTGGGTTTCTGGTCATTGGTAAGGACGAGGTCAAATATGTTTTTCCCTCTTGTTGTTGTGGACTAGCAGCTATGTCCTTTAGGGCCCAAACAGCTTGAACAGTAGCACTGTTGCCGAGCCACTGTTGGTGCTGGACACTGAAATCCCCCACCCAGAGTACATTTTGTATCTTTGCCATCCTCAGTGCTTCCTCCAAGTGTTGTTCAACATGGAGGAGTACTGATTCATCAGCCGAGGGAGGACAGTACATGGTAGTCAGTCGGTGTCCTTGCCAATATTTAACCTGAAGTCATGGGGTCTGGAGTCAACATTGAAGACTCCCAAGGCAGCTCCTTCCTGACCGTATACCACTGTGCCACCAATACTGCTGGGTCTGCGTTGAATATTTGTGAGACAGCTCTCCCAATGTTGGCACTAGCCACCAGATGATAGTGAGGAGGACATTGCAGGGTCGACAGAGCTGTTTCTGCCATGGTCTTTTCCAGTGCCTCAGTCCATCCCAGGTGATCCATTTGGTTTCATTTCTTTGAGACTTTGTAGCCATTAGTACAACTGAATGGCTTGCTAGGCCAGTTCAGAGGGCAAATGAGAATCAAACACATTGCTGGGATCTGGAGTCACATGTAGACCAGACAGGTAAGGATGGCAGATTTCCTGCCCTGAAGGACATCAGTGAACCAGAGGGGTTTTTCCAACAATCAACAATGGCTTCAGGGACATCATTACATTCTTAATTCCTTTTTTTAAAATTACTGAATTCAAATTCCACCATCTGCCGTGGCAGGATTCGAACCCCAGTCCCCAGAACATTCGCAGAGTTTCTGGAGTAATAATCTAGCAATAATATCACTAGGCCATTGCATCCCCTTCTGGATTTGCTCATGACTCCCACATCCCATGAAAGAACAAATTTTGCTTTAGAAAGGACTGATTCAATACACTCACTGGATGAAGTTTGACATATGCATCCACTTTAGCACGCAGTTCGAGTCTCCGTGTGTCGGTGAGACGTGTTGGTCCCTGCCAGGGCATGATGCACATTCTCAGATTTTGACGCTTTTTTAAGAATTTCAAGACCTGCAATCAGAAAAACAGGTCATAAAGCTCTTCTGAAATTCGACTACTACAGTCATAAAACTAATGTCCCTTTCTCTCTCAATGACAATTCAAGATAGTCCTTATATTCCCAGACAAGGAATTTGGTATTTGAATTAGGAATTCTGTACAATTCTCGCAGAGAATTCCTTCACTATCACAAAGTAGGATTCTCACTTATGAATGACACCTCCCCAGTTGTTTGTAAAATGCCAAATATATACTGTGTGGTAGACTTTTCTCAACACAAGCACATAAATCCACTGGTTCGAATAGTCATTTTGGGTGCAATCTTATAAAGCCCTGAACCATGTAGGCTAAGGCAAGAAATCTGAGACAACTGCATGAGAAGTCCAGAATGGCCTGTCTTCATGTCAGGAATAACAAATCTAATTTTCCAAGAGTTCCGGGTGCCAAGATGAGATTTGCACTAAGAAACAGTGAGATAACTAACAATGGGAATTATTGCTTAGTGACGGAGAATCTCACCTCATCAATATGCAGTTTCCATGTGCCAGACAGAAGATAAACATGGAGAATACCTGACATGAAAGTGAGAGTGGGTGCCTGGGAACACCAACTCACCGCTTGGTCCACTGGACTTCCATCTTGGATACCGGGCACCAAATCTCAGAGCATGTTCCACGGGCATTGGCCACAAGCACTCCTCATCTTGGGCATTGGAATTTGAAATACCTGGCTCACTGCACCACCAGGGCAAATTTCAGATCCACCTACAGCTTTCTTCTGCATTGCAAGCACCCAGCTGACAGACTGGACCAAGCTGCAACTCAGGACTGCAGCTCACTCAACTTACGCCAACTTGGATGCTCACAGCATCTCTGCCTCACCCTGCCTTGTCTTTTAGCAGACACAAAGCCAGGTAGCTTATCATGGTCATGGGCAGTCACTGGTTGAGGAGGTGGATACCTTGCTGCATGTCACCAAGCTGCAGAAGCTGATGCACAGACATACTGGACGTACTTCTAATCAGTGTTGAAGTTGGAGAGGAATAAAGCTCAGTCACATCAAGGGAGACAGTCTTCAACCAGGAGGTCCCAGCACAGTAAGTAAGGCATTGTCCAACATCAGTCCAGGGACTCGGGCACAGTCTAGTGACAGCTTGGGGCAATCAGAGTCAGGATCAGGGCCATACATCTTAGCTCTTTCCATCTTGCAATGGCTGTTTTCTCCTGGATTGAGAGAGAGGGAGATTGAGTGGAATGAAGTGCGTGGCACAGCTGTTACTGCTGGTGAATGTGGAGGAATTTAAATTCCATCAGTTCACGAGTTCACTAACACTGAGTGATACAAATGATAACCATGAAATATCAGTCATTTCTTTTAGGAAGTGAAATTTGCCAATTTCAGACTGACAGCAATGCTGTTGAATCTTAACTGCCTTCTGAAATGGCCTGGGTAAGCGACCTCATTCAAGGGCAGCAAAATGTTGCTTGCCAGTGTCACCCACATCCCATGAAAAAGTTTAGAAAAAACTTTAAAAAAAAAAAAAGTGGTACTGTCTCCCTCAATTAGAACATAGAACATTACAGCGCAGTACAGGCCCTTCGGCCCTCGATGTTGCGCCGACCTGTGAAACCAATCTGAAGCCCATCTAACCTACACTATTCCATTATCATCCATATGTTTATCCAATGACCATTTAAATGCCCTTAAAGTTGGCGAGTCTACTACTGTTGCAGGCAGGGCATTCCACACCCTTACTACTCTCTGAGTAAAGAACCTACCTCTGACATCTGTCCTATATCTATCACCCCTCAATTTAAAGCTATGTCCCCTCGTGCTAGCCATCACCATCCGAGGAAAAAGGCTCTCACTGTCCACCTTATCTAATCCTCTGATCATCTTGTAATTACCCAACATTTTAAACATTTCAGATTAAGGTTACTCTGATTTCATGGTATCTCCAGTGCAGATACAGGAGGCAAAATGGTACACAGCCACTCACTCTAAAGTGTTACTCCAAAATGAATCTCTACTTTTTCCCTGCCGCATGTTTGACATTTCAACATATCACAAAAACACTCACAGCTCTCTGGATAACAACAGCTGCTCTGGATTCCTTAAGGGCCTGTTTCCGTTTGTCAAAGTCCTTTCTGTGACTGTGTCCACGCCAGACCTTCTGAATCATCAGTGCTGACCGTTCTCTCTCTTCCTGTAGGTATTTGTCCACCTCGCCTGCAGACAGTGTCAAATATTACACTGGGCTTCAGGGGATTAAACAGAATTGGGGCAGTAAAAAGGACAATGGTGCAAGGCATCATAAATAGTTTTATTATGGATCTCCGAAATGTACATACAAATGGTCAGGTTGAGATGCTATGGAACTATAAATAATAGCAACATATATATTGCCCTAATATATGATGCAGAATAAATCTGATGTCACTGCAGCTTTGGATAACACCGTGGGTTAATTCAAACACACTAAATATTTTAAATGAACAGTGTCACACACCGCACTATGATGGGGAGTGCAATTTACTCAGTATCCAGGTTCATGAATGATCCTGAGGGCTTAATTCAGATGCTACTGCTGTTATGCATGTCTACTGCAATGGTCCTTATTACATTCAAGTTTTTTCACTTAAGGCAAACCAATCTGTTTTCTTCTTCCTCTATAGTAGCTGGGTATGGAATGTGTTCTAGGTGATTGACATGTGACATAAAAGTGGGAACTGCAATTGATTTTAACAGTTGCTGGCAGTTACAAAGTGTTGAAGAATTCGCCACATGGCACAATATGTTAATAGGCTGATGAGATAGAAACTAAGACAGTTTTTCTTTGTGGAGAGAAATCACTGACTTGCTCAGTCTCACAGTTCTCATCCCACAATCAAAGGCACAGCTGTTCCCTTATAAGAAAAACAAAAAAGAACTGCGAATGCTGGAAATCAGAAACAATCAGAAACTGCTGAAAAAACTCTTCTCTGGACCTAAACATTAACTCTGCTTTTTAACTGCAGATGCTGCCTGACCTGCTGAGCGATGAGGTAGGAGGGAGGGGTTTCTATCTCATGAGGAATGGGTGGACAGGCAGGGCCGAGATCCACTGGCATTTAGAAAAATAATGGGAGTCCTTCCTGAATCATATAAGATCCTGAGGGGACTTGTTGGATAGCTGCTGAAAGGATGCTTCCCATTGAGGGAGACACAGTTTAATAAAAAAGGATCTCCCATTTAAGACAGAGATGAGAAGTTTTTTGTTTCTCTCAAAGGCACCTGAGTCTTTGAAACCCTCCTTCCTAGACAGCAATGGAGGCAGGTCATTGAACACTGTTAAGGCAGTGGTTGACATGTTCTTGACTGAGAGTCAAAGGTTATTGGGGCTGGGTGAATATGTGATGTTTAGGCCACTATCAGGTCAGCCATGATCTTAGCAAAAAGCGGAGCAAGCTAGAGGAACTGAATGATCAGCTCCAGCTCCCAATTCTCAAGTTTGTATTGTTATTTATAAGGTCCACAGTAGAATTTGGAAACAGATGCCATGTTGGAGAAGTCACTTACTCGCAGGAACTAATTCCAGTAAACTCAGTTGGCGCTGCTGAAACTCTCGGAGAGCTCGATGTCGTCTTAGCTGAAGCAGATGTTTAAGCTCCTCCTCCTCTCTCCTTTTCTCCAGTTGTTGCATTTCCCGCTCACGTTTTGCCCTTAGTACCATTACATGTGATTACAATCAATTCTCATCAAACACAGGCAGAATTCCCTACAGTCACTAACTACGTCACAGAATACAGATGCAAGGGGCAGAGGTACAGGAATAGGTTACTCAGTTCCTGAAGCTGTTCTATTACCTCAGTTTGATTTGCCCACCATTCTTCCACAGTACCCTTACTTAGCAAGAAAATATTACCAATTTCAGGAGCTCCTCTGGGCAAAATCAGGAACAGGCAATAAAATGATGGCTTTGCCAGCAATACTCACAAACCATGAAAATATGAAGAAAATATAAATTTGAACGCCCCAAGGAACATCCATAGGAGGGTTATAAGATAAACCACTGCACACAAAAGAACTTCTTGGTCGTAGGAGTAGGTTTTAGAGCATCACAAAGGAGGAGTGAGAGGCAGAGAGATTGAGGGAGGAAATGCCAAAGACTAGGGAATGGACAGCTTGAAGGAACAACTGTCAAAGATCGGACAAATTAATCCTCTTCTAAGCCACACGTTCAAATGAGTTATAGATAGTATATCAATTTACAAATAAAGTACAGAAGGATACCTGAAACTCCTTTGTAAAGTTGTCACCACTTTTGGAAGACTCTTCACCCGTTTTCTTATCTGATATGCTCTCCACGCTGCTTGGATCAAGCATGCAGATCTGTGGAACTTCTGAAAAGGTCAATGTTTGATTTTCAGGTTAAAGTACCTAAACTTAAAATAGCAAAAAATATTACCAAAAAAAAATAGAGAAAACCACCAAATCCAATCCATTAATCCAGAATTTCAACTCATCAAATTCAGCATCCATGCACATCGGTTCAGATAAATTCTTGTTTTCATTACTTTGCTCAGTAAATTGTTTCATAATTTTATTAATCCTTCTCCATAGGATAAATAGAACGTGGAATCTTACATTCAGCCCGTTGTAGCTCTTTGAAAGAGCTATCCAATGAGTCCTACCTCTCAGCTCTTTCCCGTACAGCCTTACAGATGGTTAGGTTTTAAAGAAATTAAAATATATGGAATAGGAGGAGTGGACTATATAGCTTGCTTTGCCTCCTCCATACAGTAGGATCAAGGCTCATTTCTACTTCGGCTCAACCTTCCCCTTATCCTATATTCTTGACTTCTTATGAACCCAAAATTATCTAAATGTGACCTCTTCTTGAATGTACTCAATGACTGAATATCCAAAAGTCTTGAAACAGGAAATTACAATAATTCACACCCTTCTCCGCGATGAAATTCTTTCTCATCTTGGTCATAACCCATTATTCTGAGACTGGGATAGTAGGAACTGCTGATGCTGGAGAATCTGAGATAACAAGGTGTACAGCTGGATGAACACGGCAGGCCAAGCAGCATCAGAGGGGCAGGAAAGCTGACGTTTCGGGCCTAGGGCCTAAACATCAGCTTTCCTGCTCCTCTGATGCTGCTTGGCCTGCTGTGTCCATCCAGCTCTACACCTTATTCTGAGACTGGGCTCACCTGTTCCAAAAACCCCAGGAGGGGAAACATCCTTTCAGAGCTTAATTTGTCAAGCATCTTTACAATTTTATCTGTTTCAGTTAGCTCAACTTCTCAGTCTTCTAAATGCCCAAGAATGTATGCGGAGTCTACTTTATCTCTTCTTGTACGTCAATTCATTCAACCCAAGAATCAATTGAGTAAATGAATGTTGCACTCTCTCTGGGCTAAGTACCTCCTTCCTTGGGTGAGGAGACCAAAACTAGACACAGTACTCAAGGTGTGGTCTCACCAAGGCTTTGCGTAATTGTAATAAGACTTCGTTACTCAATTACTCTTTTCATTTTGCAATAAAAGGATAACATACCATTTGGCTTCCCAATTCCTTGCTGCACATTTGGAGGATTGCGTTCAGGTCTTGGCACCTAATTTAAGGAAGGATGTTAAAGCCCTGGAGAGAGTTCAAAGGAGATATACTAGAATGATACCAGGAATGAAGGATTTTGGATACAAAAAATGATTAGAGAGATCGGGTTTATTCTCTTTGGAGGAGAGAAGATTAAGAAGAGACCTTATTGAGGTGTTCAAAATTATGAACAATTTTGACAGGGTAAAGAAGGATATTCTGTTTCCACCAGTTGGTATGTCAATAACTAAGGGTCACAATTTCAAGACTGACAGCAAGAGAGGTAGGAGATGAGGAGAAACATCTTTACTCAGAGTTGTTAGGATTTAGAATGCACTGCCTGGGAGCATGGTGGAGGTGGATTTCATTGCTGGATATACATTTTAAAGTGATGAAGTTAGAGGGCTGCAGAGACAGGGCTGGAGAGGGGGACCAGCTGGGTAACTCTTCCGGGAGGCAGTACAGACACGATGGGTTGAATGGCCTCCTGTATTGCAAAATTTTGATTCTATATGTGTACACTAACTCTCTACAACTTGTGTACAACTGTGTCAAAGTCCCTCCAAATGTCAACATTTCCCAGTCTTTCATCATTTAAAAACTATTTCACTTTTCTGTTTTTCCAACTGAATAACTTCACTTTTCTCCATGTTATAGTCATTTAACCTATGTTCCATTGTAATCATTGTTGTATTCTCCACAGTTTACCTTTCAATGTAACTTTGTATCATCAAGAAAGTTGGATACAGGAAAGTCCTGCTGTTTGTGAAAGATCCATTTTCAAAAAACGTTGCAAACTGCGAATATAAGAGATAAACCTGGCGGACTGCGCCAGGAAGAAAGGCTTTCCTGTCTCTATTTTCTTTAAAACTATAGATAAGCAAATATTAAGTTCACAGTTGGTGAAAAGATGTGCAATATGCACAGTGCAGATAGATGGACGGCAGCTGTGTAAATAGTGGGACATTATGGTGTTACATTTCTTTTTCATGCATTTGAAACTCACTTTTAAACTACTATTACTAAATTACTAAATGATATCAATACTAAATATTACCACTTTGAAAATCAGTATTGTCAAAACCATTTGATTAAAAGATATTTTTACTCCAACAGAATCATCAACTTTATACCACTGGGTAGGTAATACATGTACAAAATCAAAATACTGCAGATGATAGAGATTTGAACTAAGAAAGTGTTGGAGAAAGTCAGGAGGTCTGGCAGCATCTGTGGAGAGACAGAGCTGGCTTGTGTGTTAACGATTCCACCCTAGGTCTGCTGCAGCATTCCAACAATCTGGAAGAATAGCACCTCACTTACTGCTGAGGCACCTTACAGCTTTCAGGACTCAACACTGAGTTCAAGAACGTGACAGCACGAACACTACTAAATTTTGAATAGACACACGTTAAAGACCATCGTCCCTCATACAGCGCACCCCACTGTGTCTTGCTTGTATGGTTTTGATCTCTGCAAAGCAATATATAAATGATCTGCAAGCATGGGCAGGGTTTAACATAGCAAAATTCACAGATGATACTGAAATAGGTGGGAAAGCAGGCTGTGATGAGGAGAGAGTTCACAGATGGATATTGATAGGCTGAGAGAATGGGCCAGAATCTGTCAGATGGAATTTAATGTGGATAAATGCAAGGTTGTCCATTTTAGTTGGAAAAATAAAAAGGTAAATTGTTATTTAAACAGGAAGCAGATTCAAAGCATAGCAGTGCAGAGGAATCTGGAAACATTTTTTTTTCTTTATTCATTCACGGGATGAGGTTGTCACTGGTCAGGCAGTATTTATTGCCCATCCCTAATAGCCCACAGGTCAGTTGAGAGTCAACCACATTGCTGTGGGTCTGGAGTCACGTGTAGGCCAGACCAGGTAAGGATGGCAGTTTCCTTCCCTAAAGGACATCAGTGATCCAGATGGGATTTTCCTGACAATTGACACTGGATTCATGGTCATTATTAGTCTCTTAATTCCAGACATTTATTGAATTCAAATTCCTCCATCTGCCATGGTGGGATTTGAACCTGGATCCCCAGGACATTATCTGGATCTCTGGGTTAACAGTCCAGTGACAATACCACTTGGCCATTGCTTCCCCGATAAGTGTATGAATTGCAGAAAGTGGGATGGCCGTGCAGGGTAGAATAAAAAAGGCAAATAGAATCCTGGATAACAAGGTGTAGAGCTGGATGAACACAGCAGGCCAAGCAGCATCATAGGAGCAGGAAGGCTGACGTTTCGGGCCTAGACCCTTCGTCAGAAATTTCTATATACCTTTGGTAAAGGTGATTGACAAGGTGGACGCTGAACTGTTCCCCTTGTGGGACAGTCTCAAACAAAAGGGCACAGATATAGAATGAGAGGAGGTAGGTTCAAAACTGAAATAAGGAGAAACTGCTTCTCTCAGAGGATTGTGAATCTGTGGAACTCACTGCCCCAGCGCAGTGGAGGCAGAATCAATCAACAGATTCAAGAAAAAATAGATAGGTTTCTGATGAAAAGTTGGATAAAGGCTATGGGGAGCAGACAGCAGAGTGAAGTTGAGACCAAGATAAGATCAGCCGTGATCATATTAAATGGCAGACCGGGCTCAAACGCCTGAATTGCCTACTCCCGCTCCTAATTCCTATGTTCCTAAAGACAACCCATTTTTGATTATTTACACCTATCATTAACACCTACTTTGTATCTAGAGCTTTCCTTTATTACCATATTAGCACTCCTTTGTCTATTGTTCTGGCCATCCTTGCTGTCTATTTCACTTGCTCCTCCTCTCCCTCTGTCAAGAATATAAAAATCATCACCTTCCAGCCTCTGTCAGTTCAAAGTAGTTACTAGACATGAATATTAACTTTTCTCTAGCATTTTATATTTTTGTTTTAGGTAATAATACATGCCTGTTGGCTTACTCCTTGTGTGGACCCAGCATAAAGGAGTTCCAAAAGATGATTTAACTCCTTGTCAAAGCCTCTTCCTGTCCATTGTTTCAAGATGGGACATAAACCTGGGAAAGATACCATTGAAAGATCATTTCTCAAACTTCTCTAGACAGCTACTTTCACAAGAATTATTGCTAGGAGCACAAAACATGTTAGGAGTTACAAATTATTTGCTATATTACCCATATGCATTCAAATTCTTTCCAATCTTTGGTTCCATTGAAGTCATAATTGTTCCACAATACAGTTTTACCATTAAGACAAGGTCATGTGAGGTCTAAATATGACAGCATAAGTGACTGTGGAATATCACTGAATCCAAGTTCAGACTAACAAAGAGCAATTGGACCATGAAAAAAATATTCATGATCAATTTTTTTTTACAATTGAATTTTCAGATATAGGCGTCATGAGCAAGGTCATTTTTATTGCTCATCCTTAATTGCTGCTTGAGAAGTGATATGAGCTGTCTTTTTAAAATATTGTATTCTTTGTAGTAAAGATATTGCCATGGTGCTATTAGACAGGGTGTTCCTTGTTACAAATCAAGCCAACAATGCAAGTCACTTTGAAATCGGGATACAACACACAGTAAATTGTTTCTGAAGAAGGGTCTAGGCCCGAAACTTTCCTGCTTTCCTGCTCCTCTGACGCTGCTTGGCCTGCTGTGTTCATCCAGCTCGACACCTTGTTATCACAGTAAATTGTTAACAGTCAGCAGCATTTCAGGTAACTCCACACCAATGTACAAACTGTATTACGTTACACATGTACTGTCCATTTATTTCTGTCCATTCTCCAGCTGTTGTTGGTTGGCAATTTGGATATATATCTTGCATGCAACGCCTTCCTTTTTTTCCACTGGTGTTCAGCATCCACTTCTTTAGTGGAAGGCCAGCTGTTCAGGCTCTACTATTTAGAAATCCCACCCTAAACCAAAAGACCATAAGATATAGAAGCAGAATTGGGCCATTAAGCCACTGAGTCTGCTCTGCCATTTGGTCATGGCTGCTTAGTTTCTCAACCCCATTCTCCTGCCTTCTCCCCATAACCCTTGATCCCCTTACCAATCAAGAACCTATCTTAAAGGTCTTAAAGGCACTCAATGACTTGACCCCTACAAACTTCTCAGCAGGGACTTCCACAGATTAGCCACCCTCTGGCTGAAGAAATTCCTCCTCATCTCAGTGCTAAAGGATCGTCCCTTCACCCTGAGGCTGTGCCCTCAGGTTTTAGTCTTTCCTACATGTGGATGTTTCTGAAATTTGATTTGTTAGATTAATGATGATTCCAATTAATTCTAATACTAATCTGTGTCACTGATGTTCCTTACCAACAATAACATTTCTTTTTATTCATTCATGGGATGAGCCCATCCCTAATTGCCCAGAGGGCAGTTAAGAGTCAACCACATTGCTGTGGGTCTGGAGTGACATATAGGCCAGACCAGGTAGGGATGGAAGATTTCCTTCCCTAAAAAGGACATTAGTTAACCAGACAAGTTTTTTCCTGACAATGAGCAAATGTTTCATGGATCGTTAAACTTGTATTTTCAGCTATTGGGATCCATGGCCTCTCAGGATGGCCCTTGTATTCAGGCAATCAGTGTCTAGTACTTTGAACTTAAATGAAGGCATAAAGACCAGCTGGCCAAAGTGAACTGGGAAATTAGATTAGGGGAAAAGTAAGTAGAGATGCAGCAGCAGCTATTTAAGGAAATATTTCATGACATTCGGCAAAAGTACATTCCAGTGAGAAATAAAGACTCTGGGGGAAGCACACTTCATCTGTTGTTAATTAAGGAAAGCGTAAAATTGAAAGAAAACACATACAACTCCACTAATATTGACAGGAGGTCAAAAGATTGGACTGAATATAAAACAGCAAAAAATGACTAAAACAATAATAAGGGAGAAAGTAGAGTATGAGGATACAATGATACTGTAAAGAGATAATAGATTGATTACTTAAATGGGCAGAAATTGGATGCATGTTGTAGGAAAATGTGAAATTATCCATATCAGCAGGTGAAACAAAAGCAGCATATTACTTAAACGAATAGAGATTGAGAACTTGGTGGTACAGCTAGATTCGGGTGTATAATTCTACTTAAATCACAAAATGTTAATATGCAGGTACAGCAAGCGACCCAGAAAGCAAATGGAACATTCAAATTTATTGCAGGGTGAATAGAACATAAATGTAGGAAAATTTAACAACTTTAAAGGGCATTAAAGGACTCCTAACAACCTTCTGGACAATATTCACCAGTGAGATGGACCTTGACACTTGAGGACAGTGTGAAACAGGCTGATATGGTCGAATAGGTTGATGTTAGGAAGGAGAACGTGCTAGAAATTTTGAAAAACATGAGGACAGATAAGTCCCCTGGGCAAGACAGGTATACCCAAGGCTTCTACGGGAAACAAGGGAAGAGATTGCTGCCCCTTTGGCGATGATCTTTGCGTTCTCACTGTCCACTGGAGTGGTGCCAGATGATTGGAGGGTGGCAAATGTTATTTCCTTCTTCAAGAAAGGGGATAGGGATAATCCTAGAAATTACAGACCAGTCAGTTTTACTTTTGTGGTGGGCAAATTATTGGAGAGGATTCTGAGAGATAGTATTTATGATTATTTGGAAAAGCACAGTTTCAATAGAAATAGTCAGCATGGCTTTGAAAGGGGCAGGTCATGCCTCACAAGTCTTACTGAATTCTTTGAGGATGTGACAAAACACATTGATGAAGTAGAGCAGTGGATGTGGTGTATATGGATTTTAGCAAGGCATTTGATAAAGTTCCCCAGGGTAGGCTCATTCAGAAAGTAAGGAGGCATGGGATTCAGGGAAATTTGGCTGTCCAGATACAGAATTGGCTGTCCAATAGAAGACAGAGGGTGGTAGTAGATGGAAAGTACTCAGCCTGGAGCTCGGTGATCAGTGGTGTTCTGCAGGGATCTGTTCTGGGGCCTCTACTCTTTGTGATCTTTATAAATGACTTGGATGAGGAAGTGGAAGGGTGGACTAGTAAGTTTGCCGTTGACACAAAGGTTGGTGGAGTTGTGAATAGTGTGGAGGGCTGTTGTAGGTTGCAACAGGACATTGACAGGAAGCAGAGCTGGGCAAAGAAGACGGAATTCAACCCAGAGAAGTGTGAAGTGATTCATTCTGGAAAGTTGAATTTGAATGCAGAATAAGGGTTAATGGCAGGATTCTTGGCAGTGTGGAGGAACAGAGGGATCTTGGGATCCACGTCCATAGATCCCTCAAAGTTGCTACTCAGGTTGATAGGGTTGTTAAGATGGCGTATGGTGTGTTGGCTTTCATTGGCAGGGGAATTGAGTTTAAGAACCGCGAGGTTATGCTGCAGCTGTATAAAACCCTGGTTAGACCACACTTAGAATATTGTACTCAGTTCTGGTCGCCTCATTATAGGAAGGATGTGGAAGTTTTAGAGAGGGTGCAGAGGAGATTTACCAGGATGCTGCCTGGAATGGAGGGCAGGTCTTATGAGGAAAGGTTGAGGGAGCTAGGGCTTTTCTCATTGGAGCAAAGAAGGATGAGAGGTGATTTGATAGAGGTGTACAAGGTGATGAGAGGCATAGATAGAGTGGATAGCCAGAGACTTTTTCCCAGGGCGGAAACGACTATCATTGGGGGCATAATTTTGAGGTGATTGGAGGAAAGTAGAGGGGAGATGTCAGAGGTAGGTTATTTACAGAGATTTGTAGGTACGTGGAATGTGCTGTTGGCGGCGGTAGTGGAGTCAGATACATTAGGGACATTCAAGCGACTCTTGGATAGGCACATAGATGATAGTATAATGTAGGGTATGCAGGATAGTTTGATCTTACAGTAGAATAATAGGTCGGCACAACATTGTGGGCCAAAGGGCCTGTACTGTGCTGTACTGTTCTATGTTACACGTTCTATGTCAAAAAAGCTTTTTGAATCCAGTCACGTGAGCCTGCAAAATCACTGTGACATGTCAAAAAACAAAATGTTTTCCGATAAAATTCTACTTAAAGACTGTTTCTCCGTGGTAAATCTGCAGTGATTTAAGTGACCACAGTGTTTTCAATGGCACATTAGTGCAACGTTTCAATAAATGTGTATTAAGCTTTAAGAAGTTAGAGAAACGGATTGCAAACCAACTGTCTTCTGATGCTTTAGGATATCAATATAGACAATATAACTAATGAAAGAGGTACCAGGTAATGCACCAGAAGTTATCTGGTGTAATAAGTACTTCTTTTAAATGCAGTCACTGAATGTAGGAAAACAATTTTCTCTATTTTGTTGGAAGACAGTTTTCTTTAGGAACACTGCGAGGTTAACAACAGCAATATAACTGAAGAAAATACTGGAGATGATGACAATCTGAATACGGAGAGCGCTGGGATACTCAGATCAGGCAGCATTTGTGGTGAGTCACAGAGTCATACAGCATGGAAACAGCCCTTTCGGTCTGACTCCTCCACACCGACCAGACATCTCAGTCCCATTTGCCAGCATTTGGCCCATATCCCTCTAAACCCTTCATATTCATATCCATTCATGACCAATCCAGATGCCTTTTAAATACTGTGATTGTACCTGCCTCTATCACTTCCTCTGGCAGCTCGTTCCATACACGCACCACTCTCTATGTGTAAAAGTTACCCTTCAGGTCCTTTTTAAATCTTTGTCTCACCTGAAACTATATCCCCTAGTTTTGGACGCCCCCACCCCAGAAAAAAGTACCTTGGCTATTAACCCTATCAATGCCCCTCATGACTTTATAAATCTCTAAGGTCACCTGTCAGCTTCCAACACTGCACGGAAAAGTGCTCCAGCCTATTTAGCCTCTCCCTATAATCCAAACCCTCTAGTCCCGGCACCATTCTTGTAAATCTTTTCCGCACCATCTCAAGTTTAATAACATCCTTCCTTTGGAAGGGTAACCTGAATTGTACACAGTATATAAAAGTGGCCTGACCAATGGCCTGTACAGCCACAACAGGATGTTCCAACTTCCATACTCAATGTGCCAAACACCTCCTCACCATCCTGTGTACCTGTGACCCCAGGAAAAAGAATTAACATTTTGGGTTGAACATGACTTCTTCAAAACTGCCTAAAGAAAATTCTGAGCATGTTCTGTGGAAGAATCGTATTTAACTCAAAACATTAACACTCCTCCTTTCTCCACAGATGCTGCCAGATCTGTTGGGTCTTTCAGCACTCTGTATTTAAGACAGCCTTATCAAAGCTTGAGCTACAAAAATGCAAGAGCTGAATATCTGAAATACACACAGTGAATTCAGGAATTACACATTTAGTCTTATTATCTACAATGAAATGTTGAACTCTTTCTTTTCTCTTTCCAGTTGCTAACAAGAATGGCTTTTACTCCAGATTTGGGCCGGATTTTAATTCCAGCTACCTTTTTAGTGGGAATTAATATTTCTTCGGAGAGGCAATCAGATTTCATTTAAATGTTCCTGCTATACTTCCTGCACTGAACAGTTGGGAAGATGAGAAAAACTTACATTTATATAGCTCTGTCACAGTTCTTGGACTGCCCAAAGAGCTTTGCAATTAAATAAATCACAGGGTGGATCATGAGTAGCTAAGCTTAGCAATTAGAAAAATTGCTGATTTGAAACGTCCGCTTCACAAATGCTGCCGAACATGGTTAGCAATTCCAGTATGTTCTGTTTTTATATCAGAAAAATTAATCTTGGATGCAATAGAGAAGGATTTCAGTTCCAGTAGCGAGGGAGCTGGTGATTACAGAATAACAAGAAAATGTCAAGTGGTTTGAAGCCATGCAGAGGGTTGTGCAGGACACGCACCAGTGATCAATACTAATCACAGACTAGAAATTGAATCTGGGAGATACTTGGTCTGTTTGACTCTGTACCACACCATGCACTGCAGTTATCAATTTAGCAATTTGGCACTTCATTTTAAATGATTTGCCTAATCAGAGTATTTCTATATATAACTAGTACTTTACATACCTTTGTAATCATTGCAAAGTATCGTCAAGGTGGGAGGATGGGTCTCTGCTATCAACAGCATGAGTTTGATCGATGTGCTTCCTATAACTGGATTGCTGGTTGCAAAAAGCTTGTAAATTAATTCATCCAGGATTATGCGGACATTTTTCTCTTCCACAGAGAACAATACTGTCCTGAAAGGGAGGTTGAGACATAAGATTATACTAAATATTGGGCAAAATGGATGGGTACTCATTGGCTTTTCCTACACTTCACAATAAATCTAACATTATTCAAAAGGTGAAATACATCTCTCTTGCATTGGTTCAAGTACTTGGACAGGGCTGCAGTTACTGTAAAACAAAAACTGAAAGAACTGCTGGAAATCGGAAATCAGAAACAAAAACAGAAATTGCTGGAAAAAACTTAAGCAGGTCTGGCAGCATCCATGGAGACAAATCAGAGTTAATGTTTCGGGTCCAGTGACCCTTCTTCAGAATTAATGCAGTTACTGAAGCAATTTATTAAGGAGTAGACTTCAGCCCATGTAAGCTGAGTCCCTGCTCAAGAGAATTTATTAGTGTAGACACTTCAGATGATGGTGAAGGAATCAAAACTATAAAATCGCAACTATAAAACAAGGTTACAGCAGCATTGTACTAAACACAATATAGTTGATTCTGAATCGGTGCTCGTGGCAATACAGATGAATATATATGTATGAATATGTGTATCAGTTGGTTATAGAGCTTTTGAATCTTATACAACAGACTCGACTATCTCACCTGTTCACCTGCAGGATACCAAGCAGGATAGACACCATAATAGCTCCAGTTTCCACATCGTCAGTGAGCAACAACTGAAGGAGACGATCAGACTGAAGCACTGCATTGAAAAGGGATAGGCAGTTAGCAAAGCATGCCACAATGGAGAGCCTGCATTATTGCGTTGCAGTCCAAATTTTAACAGCTGGCAACTTTTCCAAAATCTTACAACCTTTCAAAGAGTCTTTAAAATGTAGAACCCCAACTGCTTGCTCAAGCAGCTGTTAGATAGGCCGAAGCACTTTTTCAAGAAGCTGAGGATCTTCCTCGTGCCCAGGCCAATGTGTGCTCTGAGGAGGAATTTCTTCTGTGAAAACCTTAACTACAGAGGGCTGTCAATGTTGCGTCATTAAGTATATTTAAGACTTAAATAGACAAACCTTTAATTGGTGAGGGAATTGAGGATTATGGGAAAAAGGCAGGAAAGTAGAGTCACTTAGAAAGGCATGGACTAGACAGGAACAGTCAGCAAGGCTTTAAGGGAAGGTCATGCCTTACAAATTTGATTGAATTCTTTGAGGAAGTGACAAGGAGGATTGATGACGGTAGTGCAGAGAATGTTGCCTGCATGAATTTTAGTAAGACACTTGACAAGGTCCCTGACTGGTTAAAAAAGTAAAAGCCCGTGGCATACAAGATAATGTGTCAAATTGGATCCAAAGTTGGCTTAGTAACAGGAAACAAAGGGCAATGGTTGATGGCTGCTCTTGCCAATGGAAAACTGTTTCAACTGGCGTTCAGCGAGGCTCGGTGCTGGGGCCCCTGCTGTTGGTTTTATACATTAATGAATTGGTCTTGAACATGGGGAGGAACAATTAGAAATTTGCAGACAACACAAAAATTGACCATGCAGTGGATGGTATAGAGGATAGTTGTAAGCTCCAAAATGAAAGATTGGAGGAGTGGGTAGGATGGAGTTCAACTCTGATAGGTATGAGGTAATGCATTTAGGGAGGTCAAACAGTGAAGTGGGGGATCTTGGCATGCAAGTGCACAGGTTCCTAAAAGTAGTAGTACAGATACACAAGGTTCTAAAGAAGGCTTATGGAATGCTCTCCTTCATTGATAGAGGTATAGAATACAAAAGTAGGGATATAATGATGAAACTGTATATGACACTGGTGATGCCGCAAGATTATTGTGTGCAGTTCTGGTTACCACATTACAAGAAGGGCATAATTGGTCTGGAAAGAGTGCAGAGACTATTTACTAGAATGTTGCCAGGGCTTGGAAATTGTAGCTATTAGGAGAGACTGGAGAAGTTGGAGTTATTTTCCTTGGAACAGGAGAAGGCTGAGGAATGACATAATTGAGGTATACAAAATTGTGATGGGTACGGATAGAGTAAACAAGAGGAAACTGTTTTCCCAGGCAGAAAGTTCAAAAGTTAAGCGGCAGAAGGATTAGTGGGGATGTGAGGAAAAGTATTTTTATGCATAGGATGGTGAGTGTCTGGAATTCACTGCCTGAGCTGGTGGTGGAGGCAGAGACCTTGAACTCTTTTAAAAAGTATCTGGATCTGCACTTTATTTTTTTTTTATTCATTTGTGGGATGTGTGCATCGCTGGCTGGGCCAGCATTTCTTGCCCATCCCTAGTTGCCCTTGAGAAGGTGGTGGTGAGCTGCCTTTTTGAACCGCTGCAGTCCTCCTGCTGTGGGTTGACCCACAATGCTATTAAGTGCTGTAAACTGCAGGGTAGTAGACTATGTGCAGGAAGATGGGATTAGAAAGAGCCTCTGGGTGTCTGGGTCGGCATGGATCAGCTGGGCCAAATGACACCCTTCCGCACTGTCATTTTTATGGTTCTATGAATTATGACCTCACTGAATGGTGGAGCAGACCCAAATGGGTTGAATGACCTACTTCTACTCCCATTCAACAGATTATCTGGTTGTCTATCTCATGCTTGCTTGTGGTATATTACAGCATGCAAATTGGCTTTTAAACTTTCCTGCAATAACACCACCAACAATACTGCAAAATAAAATTAATGCCTGTGAATCATTTGGAGTCATCCTGAGAATGTGAAAAACAGACGTTATCTTAACTAAAAAATCAGATGTTTTTGAAATTTTTCTTAGTTGAAAATGGGCTTTTAGTGTATCAGAATTGTCTGGGAAACCCCCACTGCTGTCTTTTTGCATACCGCATTTCAACCAAACAACATTTTCTCAAATGTCCACTCATGCAAATCACACTAGCTTTGGCACAGATGTTTGTAAGTAGGGTAAAGCAAAGCTTATTGGTCTCAAAAACAATTGAATCATTACTTTCCGCATCTCAACAAATCTGCTGAAAACAAGAATGGTACAGTTCAAATCTGGTAATCAACTAATTTGTATAAACAGAAACAGAAATACCATTAAATACTCAGCAGGTCAGGTACCATTTGCAGAGAGAGCAACAGAGCTAACATAGCAGGTCGAGCAGCAGCTTTAGTGAGAGCAGTAGATGGACCTGAAGAGTATTTTCATTAGTTTCTGTCTTTATTTCGGATTTCCAGCATTTTCAGTATTTTGCTTATGCATTAGTTGCCATTTGGCAAACTAATTCGAGTGTCAGAATGACTGATTTGAGAAAATGTGAAGGTTTCACACTTGTATACAAACTGATAACATATTGAGAACCATCTGGAAAAAAATGAAGTTGTTCTTCTAGAAAGCAATTATATCTGTACATTCAGAAAAAGAAATAGAAAGATTCATAGAACAAAAAATGGCCATCAATCCATTGTGTCCCTCCTAACTATAAAAACTGAGGTTATTCACTCTAATTTCCAGCTCTTGGCATACCTCAGTGCAGCACCTCAAGTGCATATTGAAATGCAATGAATATTTCTGCTTTTAACATCATTTTAGGAGCCTGGTGAGTTGTTGTAGCGTATTCTGTAAATGGCACACACTGCTGCTACTGTGGTAGTGGAGGGACTGAATGTTGAAGGTGTTAGACAGGGTGCCAACCAAGCAGGCCGATTTGTCCTGATGGTTTTGAGTTTTTCAAACGTCAGAGCTGCACTCATTCAGGCATAAGGACAGAATTTCATTATATTCCTGATTTGTGCCTTGTGAATGGTTGACTAGCTTTGGGGAGTCAAGAGGTTATTCGCCACAAGATCTCTAGTGTCTGAGCTGCCCTTAGAGCCACATTGTTTACATGGCTGGTCCAGTTCAGTTTCAGGTCATTGGTAAATCCCAGGATGTTGATAATGGGGATTCAGTGATGGCAATGCCATTGAATGTCAAGGGGAGATGTCTGGATTCTCTTATTGGAGATAATCATTGCTAGGCACTTTTGTGGCACAGATGTTATTTACTACTCATTAGCCCAAGCTTGAATGTTGTCCAGATCTTGCTGTATTTGGACAGTGTCTGCAGAGTTGTGAATGGTGAACACTGTTCCATCATCAGCAAACTTCACCACTTCTGACTTTTTGATGGAAGGAAGGGCGGTGAAGCAGCAGAAGATGATCGAGTCTGGGACTCTATCCTGTAAAACATGATGTCCTGGAACTAGGATGACTGGCATCCAAAAATCACACGCTTTTTGCTAGGTGTGTCTCCAACCAGCAAAAAGCATTCCTTCCCAGTTTCCATTGACTCTAGTTTTGTTCAAGGTCCTCGATGCCACACCATGTTAAATGCAGCCTGAATGTCAAAAGGGCAGTCATTTTCATTTAGCCTCCAGAATTCTGCTCTTTTGCCTGTGTTTCAACTATGGCTGCAATGAGGTCACTAGTTGAGTGGCCTTGGCAGAACTAGTACTGTTCAATAGCACTGTTGATGATCACTTCCTTCACTTTACTGAATATCAAAATAGACTGACAGGCAGTAATTGGCTGGATCAGATTTGCTCTTTTTGTCACAGGACATAGCTGGACAAACTTTGCACACTGTCACAGATTTTCCACAGATGGCAGTGTCATAGTTATACTGGAACAGTTGGCTAGGGGCAGTTAGTTCTGAAGCAAAGACTTCAGTGCTATTCCAGAATATTGTCAAGGCCCATAGCACTTTCAGTACCATGTAGACCCTAAAGGACATTTGTGAACCAGATGAATCATGATGTAGAGGTGCCAGTGTTTTTATGAAAATTGACAATGACTTCATAATCACTATTAGATGAGTTTTAAATTCCGGATTTATTATTTTTGATTTCAAATTTCACTAACTGCTGTGGTGGGATTCAGCAGCATTCCTCCAGAGCATTAACCTAGGTTTCTGGGTTACTAGCCCATCGACAATACCATTATGCCAGTGCTTCCCCTTCCTTACTTTTAAGCAAACAACCAACTTCTGCAAACTTCAAAATCATATTCTTACAGTTAAGTCTAAATTGTTAATACGTACCACAAAAGTAAAGTTATGCAGTGGTGAACCCCATTCTGATAAGAGTGGTAGAAGCAAATTCAATCATGGCTTTTAGAAAGAGGAGAAATCTCCAGGTCTACAAGATGAAGGGGGGGGGAGTGACATGAGTTAAATTACTCTTTCAGAGGGTCAGCACAAACCCAAATGGGTTACTTCTGTACTATACCATTCTATGATCCAAAGATACAAGATTTAACAGCATCTTGTGTTTGTTTAATACATCCTCATCAGTGTTGTGACCCTTTGATCCTTTATTTATAAATTCTGTGTCTGAAACTATCTCTCTCACTAACTCCCAGAGAAGGAGCAAGGGTCCAAAAGCTTGTGATTTCAAATAAACCTGTTGGACTATAACCTGGTGTCGTGTGATTTCTGAACTTGTCCACCCCAGTCCAACACCGGCACCTCTACATCAGGATTCTATGAAAACACAACTCTAAAACTAAGTTCATTGGTCACCTGTCCCAATATCATTTTCACTGTCCCTTTGTCTATTTACATCCAACTTTATTTCTATGACATCCATAGAGCCATAGAAAAAGTCCTAGAAAAGAGACAGCACAGAATGAGGTCATTCAGTCCACCTGTCAGTGTGGTTAAATAAGCTAGTTGCCCATTCTAGTCCCACTTTCCAGCACCTGGCCTGGCAGGTTACAGCATTTTAGGTGCAGATCCAGGTTCCTTTTAAAGGAATTGAGGGTTTCTGCTTCAACTAGAAAACCACCCAGAAAGCTTTTCTTTATGTCCTCTCTAATCCTTTTACTGAACATCTTAAATGGTAGCCCTTGGTAATTGACTTTTCCGCTAGGTGAAAGAGGTCTGCCCTTTGCCATTTATATAAAAGATTTAGATGAGAATATAGAAGGTACAGTTAGTAAGTTTACGGAAGGCACAAAAATTGGTGGTATAATGGACAGTAAAGAAGGTTATCTAAGATTACAAAGAGATCTTGATCGATTGGGTCAATGGGCTGAGGGGTGGCAGTTGGAGTTTAATTTGGGGATAAATGTGAGGTATTGCATTTTGGTAAAACAAACAAGAGCAGGATTTATAACAATTAAAAATAGGGCCTTGGGTAGTGTTTTAGAGAGACACCCAGGGTTCAGGTTCATAATTCTTTGAAATTTGCATCACTTGTAGGCAGGTTAAGAACATCTTTCCTTCGGGGAGAAGCGAAATAGGCTAGGACTTATTTCACTGGAGCGTAGGAGTTTGAGGGGTGAACTTATGAAATCATGAGGGGTATAGATAAGGTGAATGGCAGGTGTCTTTTCCCTATGGTAGGGATTTCAAGACTAGGGGGCATATTTTTAAGGTGAGAGGAGAATGATTTATAAAAAGGACACGAGCAACAATTGTTTTTACACAGAGAGTGGCTTGTGTGTGGAATGAACTTCCAGAGGAATTGGTGGATACGGGTACAGTTACAAAGTTATTTGGGTAAGTATCTGAATAAGAAAGGTTCGGAGGGATATAGGCCAAGCACAGGCAGGTGGCACTAATTCAGTTTGGGATTATGGCGAGCATGGACTGGTTGGACCGAAGGGCTTGTTTCCATGCTGTATGACTCTATAACCCCCTCATTATTTTGTACACGTCAATTAAGGCATCATTCAGCCTCTTCAGATCTAAGGAAAACAACCTTAGCCTATTCAATTTTTCCTCATAGTTGCAGTTTTCAAGCTCTAACAACAATATTGTAAATCCCCTCTGTACTCTGTCTACAGTAATTATATCCATCCTGCAATGTGGTGACCAGATCTATACGCAAAACACCTGGTGTGTCCTAATCAGAGTCTTAAATAGTTTCTGTATATTCCTGCATTCAATGAGGAAAAGCATCCCATATGCCTTCTTTACCACTTTACCTATCTGTGCTGCCATCTTCAGAGACCTGAGGACATGCATTCAAAGGCCTTTCAATTCCTCTACCCCTCTCAGTATCATTAGCGTATCATGTAATCCCTTGCTTTGTTTGCCCTCTCCAAATGCATAACCTTCAATCTCTGGATTGAATTTTGTTTGCCACTTTCCAACCATTCAATCAAAACAATGATACCATCCTGCAGTTGACAATCATCCTTTTCACTATCACCTGCTCGGCCAAATATTTCGCTTCGTCTCTAAATTTCCCAATCATGTCACCCACATTTAAGTCTAAATCATTAATATTTACCACAATCAGCAAGGGACCCAACTCTGAGTCCATTCACAAAACATCTCTCGACTACTACGCTTTGTTTCCAGTCACTGAACCAATTTTGAATCCAACTTGCCTCATTTCCCTCTATCTTATCAGCTTTAGTTGAGTGTTTCTTTCTCTATTCATTCATGGGATGTCGGTGTCACTGGCTGGCCAGCTTTTCTTACCCATCCCCAGTTGGCCTTGAGAAGGTGGTGGTGAGCTGCCTTCTTGAACTGCTGCAATCCTCCTGCTGTGTGTTGACCCACAATGCTATTAGGGAGGGAATTCCAGGATTTTGACCCAGTGACAGCGAAGGAACTGCGATATGTTTCCAAGTCAGGATGGTGGGTGACTTGGAGGGGAACTTGGAGGTGGTGGTGTTCCCATGTGTCTGATGCCCTTGTCCTTCTAGGTAGAAGTGGTCGTGGGTTTAGAAGGTACTATCTGAGGATCTTTGGTGAATTTCTGCAGTGCATCTTGTAGATAGTACACACGACTGCTACTGAGCATCGGGGGTGGAGGGAGTGAATGCTTGTGGATGTAGTGTCAATCAAGCGGGCTGCTTTGTCCTAGATGGTGTCAAGCTTCTTGAATGTTGTTGGGGCTGCACTCATCCAGACAAGTGGAGAGTATTCCAACACACTCCTGACTTGTGCCTTGTGGATGGTGGACAGGCTTTGAGGAGTCAGGAGGTGAGTTACTCGCCGCAGTATTCCTAGCTTCTGGCCTGCTCTTGTAGCCAGTGTTTATGTGGTGAGTCCACTTGAGTTTCTGGTCAATGGTAACATCCAGGATGTTGATAGTCGGGGATTCAGTGATGGTAACACCATTGAATGTCAAGGGGTGGTGATTAGATTGTCTCTTATTGGTGATGGTCATAGCCTGGCATTTGTGTGGCGCAAATATCATTTGCCACTTCCAGCCCATGCCTGGATATTGTCCACATCTTGTTGCATTTGAACATGGACTGCTTCAGTATTGGAGGAGTCACCAAAGGTGCTGAACATTGTGCAATCAATCATCGGTGAACATTCTGACCTTATGATGGAGGGAAGGTCATTGATTAAGCAGCTGAAGATGATTGGGCCTAGGACACTACCCTGAGGAATTCAACTCCTGGAGCTGAGATGGACTTCTAACAAGCATGACCATCTTCCTATTTGCCAGGTATGACTCCAACCACTGGAGAGTTTGCCCCCTGACACCCATTGATTGTTTTGCTAGGGCTCCTTGATGCCACACTCAGTTGAATGCAGCCTTGATATCAAGGGCTGTCACTCTCACCCCACTTCTGGAATTCAGCTCATTTATCCATGTTTGAACCAACAATGTAAAGAGGTCAGGAGCTGAGTGGCCCTGGCGGAACCCAAACTGGGCGCCACTGAGCAGGTTATTTCTGAGCAGGTGCTGCTTGATAGCACTGTTGATGACACCTTCCATCACTTTACTGATGATCGAGAGTAAACTGATGGGGGGGGTAATTGGCCGGGTTGGATTTATCCTGCTTTTTGTCTACAGGACGTAGTTGGGCAATTTTCCATGTTGTCAGGTAGGTACCAGTGTTGTAACTGTACTGGAACAACTTGGCTAGGGGAGCGGCAAGTTCTGGAGCACAAATCTTCGGTATTATTGCCAGAATGTTATCAGGGTCTGTAGCCTTTAGTGTGCCACGTGGGACTTTGTCAACTGCCTTGCAGTACCCTCATCAATTCTCTTTGTTACTTCCTCAGAATATTGATTTATTTGTAATCTTTTAAATATTATTTTCATTGACTCTTTATCTATTTCTGTCCAATTCTGGCTCCGTGATATCGTTGGGACATTTTTCTATATTAAGAGTACAGTACAAATGCAAATTCTATTTGTTAGTAACAATTTCCTTAGGCAGGTAAAACTAAAGCACCAGCTCAGACTTACCATGTTGAATCAGTTCAATGTGGTCACTAAGAAGCCAGCAAAGGGAGTTAGTCACATTGAGGAAACAGCGCAGAAAATCTTGTTTGACGTCATTCTTGAATTAAGAACAATTTTTAAAAACATTTTCAAGCAGGGAAAGATGTATTCAAATGCACTTTCTTTCTATGTTATATCAATGAAGTTGTTTCTGATCATATGTTTTAGTTACGCATCACCAATAATAAGATAAAGAGCAAACTGCATTGAAACAGGTCATTCATGGCATATTTGCTCTACTTGAATTCTCGCCCAACCTTCCATATCTAATTCAATCAGCATAGTCTTCAATTCACTTCTCCCATATGTGCTTAACTAATTTGCCTTAAGAAGTAATTACGTTATTTGCTTTAATTGCTCTGTGGTAGTGAGCTTCACATTCTCAATGCTCTGCAGATAAAGAAGTTGCTTCTGAATTCCATATATGAATTCTTGCTGATTATCTGTTGATTGCCTCCAATTTGACTCTCCTCCAGACGTGGAAATATTCTCAATATGTCTACTCAATCAAAATCTTTCATAATTTAAAATATTTTTATTAAGTCATTGCTTGGTGTTCTCCTTTCCAAAAACGTGTATTGTTTCCCCAAGGGTATAAATTCAGATCTGATATCATTCTTTATTTGCAACCTTATCAGTGCCTCAAAATTGATTTTACATGATGGTGCCTCGAATTGTATGGGTACAACTTTAATGATTCACTAGTTCTTGCTAGTACACCTTTCTCTAACAAATTACTAAATATGTATAATAGTACCTCAGCTGTATCTGTTCGCACCGGAGCAGAGAACTGTTGACTTTGCTTGATTGACATCTCCATGAGGTTAAAGTAAATTATTCTGTGATTTCTTTTGCCAAGTCTCAATGTAATTTGCACAAGGTGAAGAGGTGTTAAGTATTTAAAGCTTCTGTTACCGTTACATTAAAGGTTGGTCTGACTGACACATTTATAGCACTGTAGGAACACACTTTATTACAAAAAACTGTGAACAGGCATTTCTTTTCTAAACGGCTTCACATATTGAATAGAGTCTTATAGGGATCTGAGCGAAGTGGACTTGGTGAGATTTGTGGCAGAATCACATCCAGTGAGGACTATTTCAACGCAAGTTGCTGCAACTTTTTTGCATTTGTCAAGCAGTGAGGTGCTGAGGTGGTGAGTTGCCAATTACAGGGATTATAGCTCCTGAAGAAATGATGTGTAATGAGGCAGAATGGATCAGGGAGTTTAAAGTGAAGAACCCCTTGGGGACTGTGACCATAATACGATCGAATTCACCCTGCAGTTTGAAAGGGAGAAGCTGGAATCAGATGTAACGGTATTACAATTGACGTAATTACAAAGACATGAACGAGGAGCTGGTCAGAATTGATTGGAAAGGGAGTCAGCAATCGCAAGAGTTTCTGTAAGCAATTTGGGAGGCACAGCAGAAATTCATCCCAAGGAAGATGATGACAAGGGAAGTCAGGAACAACATAAAAGCAAAAGCAAAAACATACAAAGTGGTGAAGATTAGTGGGAAGCCAGAGGACAGGGAAGCCTTTAAAAACCAGTAGAAGGTAACTAAGAAAGCAATGGGGTGGGAAGAGAAAGAGAGGTAGTGAGAGAGATTAAATATGAGGGTAAGCCAGCTAGTAATACAAAAGAAGACTGCAAGAGTCTTTTTTTAAAGATACCTTAAAAAGAAAGAGATCGGCAAAAGTGGACATTGGACCACTGGAAAACGAAGCCGTAAAAGAAGTAATGGGGAACAAGGAAATGGCAGACGAAGTGAATGGGTACTTTACATCAGTGGAAGATTTCAGTAGCATACCAGAACTTCAAGACAGTCAGGGGGCAGAGGTGAGTGCAGTGGCCATATTTTAAGGAGAAGGTGCTGGGGAAGCTGAAAGGTCTGAAGGTGGAAAATCACCAGACCAGATGGATTACATCCCAGGATTTTGAAGGAGATAGCTGTGGAGATTGTGGAGGCTTTGGTTGTAATATTTCCGGTATCATTGGAGTCAGGGAAGGTCCTGGAGGATTGGAAAATGGTTAATGTAACACCCCTGTTTAAGAAGGGAGAGAGGCGGAAGACAGGTAAATATAGGGCCAATCTACGTGCTCCACAACTTATAAACTGGCAACAGAAGTGAAATCTTCAGCTTGTAGACTAATGAGATAGTCTTATAAATAGAATTCATGCAAATATGGCTCACAGCTAGACAGACTGAAACAATGAGCATAAAATTACCTCAACAGCTTGGAGAAATCGAGCTTGCAGGCGTCGGGCCAGCAGCATCAGATTGTCTGAAGCTGATGGCAAAACCTTTTCGTAAAACTCTTCAACATCTTCCTTTGGATTCAGACCCACACAGACAGTACTGAAAGGAATCAATTCAATTTACCATTAATTTCATAAACTCAAAGTATTTCACCCTGCAATACATTCACCTAGCAAAGGCAGGATATCCATCAAGACATTTATGTCAAATAAAAATCTTTAGCTCCGGTAACCAAACAAGTTGCCCTGTTTGACAGCTAATGATGATAGTAAGGCTGCATTCTATAGTCAAAATGATTCAAGTTTTCTTGCATGGGTAGTAACATATTCTCAGAAACAAAGGGTTCAGATGGTTCATAATTGTTATCTGTAAGCGTTAAGAGCTAGCCTCAAATCTAGAAATTTACTGGTGAATTTATTAGAGGGTTTCAAGTAACATTATAAACTATGAGAATACAGATTAGAGTTATATACTGATAAGAGATATACAGCATGGAAACAGACCCTTCGGTCAAATATGTCCATGCTGAACAGATATCCTATATAAATCTAGTCCCATTTGCCAGCATTTGGCCCATATCCTTCTAAACCAGGAGGGTGGCAAATGTCATTCCCTTGTTCAAGAAAGGGAATACGGATAATCCTGGGAATTACAGACCAGTCAGTCTTACTTCTGTGGTGGGCAAATTATTGGAGAGGATTCTGAGAGATAGTATTTATGATTATTTGGAAAAGCCCAGTTTCAATAGAAATAATCAGCATGGCTTTGTGAGGGGCAGGTCATGCCTCACAAGCTTTATCGAATTCTTTGAGGATGTGACAAAACACATTGATGAAGGTTGAGCAGTGGATGTGGTGTATATGGATTTTAGCAAGGCATTTGATAAAGTTCCCCAGGGTAGGCTCATTCAGAAAGTAAGGAGGCACGGGATTCAGGGAAATTTGGCTGTCTGGATACAAAACTGGTTGTCCAATAGAAGACAGAAGGTGGTAATAAGATGGAAAGTATTCAGCCTGGAGCTCGGTGACCAGTGGTGTTCCGCAGGGATCTGCTCTGGGACCTCTGCTCTTTGTGATCTTTATAAAGGACTTGGATGAGGAAGTGGAATGGTGGATTAGTAAGTTTGCTGGTGACACAAAGGTTGGAGGAGTTGAGGACAGCGTGGAGGGCTGTTGTAGGTTGCAATGGGACATTGACAGGATGCAGAGCTGGGCAAAGAAGTGGCAGATGGAATTCAACCGAGAAAAGTGTGAAGTGATTCATTTTGGAAAGTCGAATTTGAATGCAGAATACAGTGTGGAGGAACAGAGGGATTTTAGAGTCCACGTCCACAGATCCCTCAAAGTTGCTACCCAAGTTGATAGGGTTGTAAAGAAGGCGTATGGTGTGTTGGCTTTCATCGGCAGGGGAATTGAGTTTAAGAGCTGTGACGCTATGCTGCAGCTCTATAAAACCCTGGTTAGACCACACTTGGAATAGTGTGTTCAGTTCTGGTCACGTCATTATAGGAAAGGTGTGGAAGCTTTAGAGAGGGTGCAGAGGAGATTTACCAGCATGCTGCCTGGATTGGAGGGCAGGTCTTATGAGGAAAGGTTGAGGGAGCTAGGGCTTTTTTCATTGGAGTGAAGAAGGATGAGAGGTGACTTGATAGAGGTGTACAAGATGATGAAAGGCATAGATAGAGTGGATAGTCAGAGACTTTTTCCCAGGGCAGAAATGACTATCATGAGGGGGCATAATTTTAAGGTGATTGGAGGAAGGTATAGGGTAGATGTCAGAGGTAGACTCTTTACACAGAGTGTGGTGGGTGTGTGGAATGCGCTGCCGGCAGTGGTAGTGGAGTCAGATACTTTAGAGATTTTTAAGCGACTCTTGGTAGACACATGGAGGATAGTAAAATGTAGGGTATGCAGGGTAGTTTGATCTTGGTAGGATAATAGGTCGGCACAACATTGTGGGCCGAAAGGCCTGTACTGTGCTGTACTGTTCTATGTTATATATTCTAAACCCTTCCTATTTATATACCCATCCAGATGTCTTTTAAATATTATAATTGTACCAGCCTCCACCACTTCCTCTGGCATCTTATTCCATACATGCACCACCCTCTGCATGAAAACGTTGCTCCTTAGGTTCCTTTCATATCTTTGCCCTCTCACCTTAAACCTATGCCCTCTAGTTTTGGCCTCCCCCACCTCAGGGAAAAGACCTTGCTTATTTATCCTTTCCATGCCCCTCATGATTTTATAAACTTCTGTAAGGTCACCCCTCAGCCTCCGACACTCCACGGAAAATAGCCCCAACCTATTCAGCCTCTCTCTATAGCTCAAACCCTCTAACCCTGGCAACATCCTCGTAGATGTTTTCTGAACCCTTTCAAGTTTCACAACGTCCTTTCTATCGGAAGGAGACAGAATTACACGCAATATCCCAAAAGTGGCTGAACTAATGTCCTGTACAGCCACAACATGACCTCCCAATCCTATACTCAATGCACTGACCAAGAAAGGCAAGCATACCAAATGCCTTCTTCACTATCCTACCCACCTGTGACTCCAACTTCAAGAAACTATGAACCTGCACTCTAAGGAGTTCTTCACAATCACTGAATGAAGTAACATTAAAGGAAGACTACAAGTGTTCCACCAGATCGGCAGGAAGTAAACAGTGATTCCTTTGCTGAATACCATTGTATAATCCACAAGTGTGATCCTAAGCTCTGAATCACTTGCCATTTTAATTACCTGCCTGCTCCAGCTATCTATATTGATCCTACGAAGCTTGAGGGCCAGCACCTCATTTTTCAATTAAACACTTTCAAATTCAATATCCATTTCATTCATTTCAGATGACAGCCCTGGTTCCATTTTTTCTGGTGTTCGTAATGATTCTGCTGATCTCATTTACAACCCCTCTAGAGCTACCTTGCCTTTCTTTACTTATCACCCACTTTTGCCTTATACTGTTGTCTCTTTGTCATTCACAAAATCCCGCTTTCGACCCCAAAATAGTCCTTCCACTTTGTTCTTTTCTCGCCTCACCTCCAGGCTTGCTTGAAAAATAACTGTATTCAAATAAACAAATAACTATATTCCATTCGCATTTGTTCTCAAATTGATAGAGTGTTCTAGTCAATTGAGCGGTTTAAGCCAATTATAAACTTTTAATATCTCTAACACATTAAGGGGCCATAAAATAACATATGTCACACTATTCTATCCTGCTCAGGGGTACTGGGACTGATTGTGTGCCTGGATGCTGGCAAACCTCTTATTTCCATGATCAGAACTCTCAGAGTATGAACTGTGTCGTTTCAGGAGCACCTGCATGTAAAATGAACCCTGCTAATTTGCATTATGCAATACTTATAAGCTAAAATATACTCTGGATGGTACAATGAAGGAATGATGGAGATTCATGTCATAAACCAAAGCTTTATACTTTAGACAAACAAAATAATGAACCTACACCACATTTGATAGCTAGTTTGCTTGATTTAAGGAAAATATTTTTTATTGGCACTGAAATCTGATTTCTTCGATTAAAAGTATGCCAAGTAGATTTCTGGTTAAAACCCAGGTTGCCAGTGCATCTTTCTATTCTTGCATTCACCAACAGAACAACAGAGTCCATGATTGGAATACCACACATGCAAGCACCTCAGAAGCTGCACACCATCCAACTATATCACCGTACATTCAGTGTTGCTGAGTTAAAATCTGGGAACTCCCTTCCCAGTAGCACTTTTGATGCACCAGTACCCCAACGACTACAGCAAGTTCAAGTAGACAGCTCACACCAGCTTCTCTTCAGCAGTTAGAGTTGGGTGATAAATGCTGGCCCAGCCAGTGACATCCACATCCCATGATAGAATAAAACACACGCACTGCCAAGCATCCAAGAATCCCCAACATAATGGGTGTGAGGTATTCAGTGATTAGTGAATACAATAAATCACTGTCTTCTGTCTTTGGCGAGGGTTAATGTTTAACTCCTTTGCATTTGAACATTCCTATGTTTCAGAGCATTTAAAACAAAAACACATCAGTTTGAACATTTAAATGGGAATTATACCCAAATCCTTCCTGTGGAAATCTTTAGGAAAAGAATTACTTTTTTTCTGAAACATAACTACAGAAGCAATGTGGAGTGGAACATTAATTGAGGATTCCTGATCTACTTTACCTGACTATCTCAGCCAGCTCTACAGCTGTGGACCAGCTTCCTGGAATGTTGTGGTAGTCTTGTTTAAGCACCAATATACAATATTGAATCAGGTCATAATAATAAATATCCTCTTTTAGTTTCTGTAGTTCCTTGCTTTCTACAGGTGGTTTCTTCAGGATTTCTGTAAAACATATATGGAAGACTATAAAAGGAGAATGAGTTAATGCCACACCAAAAACAAAATTTCAAGACAGCCTAGTGTGGTCCCGAGTACCATTCACAATTGAGGAGATTTAAAAACAAAATCTTAACTACTCGCGACTGTAAGATTCAGAGTAGTATGAAAAGAAAAACGCCCGTTTCTCTAAGCACCAAATGTAGCTTTCATTGTAACACCTTGAAATCGATAAATGCATTTTTACTCAGCTCCCCTTTTGACATTATCAGCAGTTGCCATCCAATTAAAAATAAAATGCGCTACCCACCAGTGCATGCCATGTACAGATCGCGATGGGCACACAAAACAACAGTTTTCTCATCACCCCTGCAGGTGCTTATGATGCCTAGAATCCAAGTCCAAAACTGCTGCAACCTTTCTGACATGAATCACACTCTAGCTAAGAGCCAAACAAAGTGACCTGGATGCACATTCCCACCAGTATCGAAATCCAAAGGTACGATGAATGAATAAAATATTCTAGGAATGCACCTCAATGTACACTGGAAATTGCAACTGTGTCATAATATAAATAAATGTACAATTAGCCGTACAATGGCTTCATATAATACGTATGTAAATGTGTTAAGTTGCATTTCATATATATATCAATAACTTGCATTCACACAGCAGTGTTAATGTAGTAAGATGTTACAGATGTCAAATTTTTTAAAAAATTGACTCTAAGAAGCTTCAACAGACATTAGGAGGGGTGACAACAAGATTCTGATCGAAGAGGTAAAATTAAAGGAGTGTCTTAAAGGAGGAGGAGGTAAAATGGGGGGTAGTTTGTCAAGGGGGTTTCAGAGCTTGGTGCCTCAGCATGCATAACGACCACTGGTAAAGGAATGAAAATTTAGGATTACAAGAGGTCAGAATTGAAAGAACAAAAATGAGAACTTCAAAAACCGCGAAACGGGAGCCTTTTTAAAGTTCTCGTTTTTGTTTTTATATCACTCCATTCCTTTGACCTTCCCTTCCCTTGCCTCTTTTAGCCCTATGCTCTTCCCAGATCTCTTAGCTCTTTCAACTCTGACTTCTTGTAATCAGAAATTTTCGTTCCTTTAGCGTTGGTCACTTACCGAGGATGCAAGGCTTTATACCAGCATATGTCCTCCTGGAGTCTGTCACTATCTCACAACATAGATAAGACTGCCCACAACAACAGGAAGGGTTTTGAGGAAGGGTCACCGGACCCGAAACGTTAACTCTGTTTTCTCCTTCACAGTTGCTGCCAGACCTGCTGAGCTTTCCAGCAACTTTGTTTTTGTTCCTGATTTACAGCATCTGCAGTTCTTTCGGTTTTTATTATAGATAAGACTGGATCTACTATTAGCATTCACATGTCAATGAAAGCTACCTTACTTGAATAACATACTGCATAGAAAGAATCTGATCTATACCTTACTCTGGTTAGTGGCAGCACTTCCTGGACAGTGCAATTGAAGGGTAAATTACATAAGAAAGCTGAGGATCCCTGATTTTGTCATATCTAATACAATTTCTTACCTTTCAGTTTTAGCAGGAGGATAGGAATCTTATCATTTGAGCTTTCTGCAACTTCAGCTGCCAAGTTAAAAATCTGGGAATTCACTTCTTCACCCAAATTATCCGTGGCTACAGGCCTGCTCATGTAACACAAAATAGGAGAAATACCTTGTTCAGCGCAAAATGCAATACAAGTGTTCACAGCACAGCAATATTCTCACAATTTAAAAGAGCAATTTTGTCTGTAAAAAGCTGAAAAGCTCATTACGCATCACATGAACTACAAGGATTGATGGTTCCAGGTGGAATTCTCACCAAAAAACACATATCACACACACCCCCCACCACCATGAGGAACACCTGGAATTGATTGTGGTCAATCTAGACAATATATTCTAGTAAAGGTCACAGATTTGATGTTTTGGATAAGAGATGGAGGAGGGCATGAACAGTAAGTTTTTTAAATGTAAACACATTGAGTGATGATGACCAGGATTATATACCTCATAAGGCTGGTGGAAGCAGAGACAGCTATTGGCTCATGAAATTAGCTATAAAGAGCCTGCAAGAATTTGAGGGGTCAGAGAAGCCTATCATGCATTTTAAATGGACATCCGGTATGATATCGAATGCCACTAAACATTCTCCAGCACTCCACTTATGTGAAAGCATCACTGGTTGATCCATCTAAAGCAAAGTAACTTCCCAGGTAACTCATATTTTGCAGGACGTCTGATGCTATGAATCCTTGCAATGTTCACCAGTCTCAAAAGGCACCAATCTGAAAATCTTGCATTCAATCAGAGCTCCTCTTTTTGCAATGTCTTGAGTATGTGAACGACTCTATATGATGTGTCCTGC